GGTTAGACATAAAAAATAGAGAAAAAAATTGCACCTGCTTCTTACTTTTTACATTAATGATGGTAAAATTTCTGGTAGCATCACTTGTAACTATATGAGGGACACTAGTATTAATGAAGAAGGAACAAGTATACAGTCCAGCATTAGATAGTCTTGCATTACTAATAGTGTAGGTAAGAGTGTGTCCATTATTATCATTGATAATGGTACTGGAGTTAAGAATGTGATTAGATGAATTGAACCATTGTAGAGTCAAATTAGTATCGACATCAATGTAGGAAGAGTATGGATAAGTGACAGAACATGAGAGGGTAATGTCACTACCAGCATCATACACAGACTGATGAGGAATGAGATTAATTACTGGAACCTTGTCATTAGGAACTAAAAGAAACAAAATATACAACTAACAACAAAAAATGATTTTACTTTTAATAAAAACATTAGTTGAAGCTCTCATATTATCACTGGGTAGGACAAATGAATGATTAGTACATGATATATTGTACTGGCAAGTATATTGTCCAGCATCAGATAATGAAACATCATTGATAGTGTAGCTGATAGTGTGTTCAGTATTATTATTGATACCAGTATATGAGTTTAGAGTGTGATTAGAGGAATTGAGCCATTGTATGTTCACAGTAGTAGCAATATCAATAAGAGGAGAGTGTGGATAAGTGACAGAGCAAATGAGGCTAATGCTGTCACCAACAGTATAATAAGAATATAACGGAGTAATTGATGGATTATTACCATTAGGAACTATCAATAAAATATACATGGTAATGGTGTTAATAAAAATTTAAACAAAACTCACTTTTAATTGTTACATTAGTCACTCCTGTCCTGACATCACTTGGTATAATATAAGGATTATTAGTGGTACTATTGAGATAATATGTACAACTGTATTCTCCAGCATCAGATAGCTTTATATTAGTGAGAGCATAGTTGAAATATTCATTGTATGAGTGAATAAAATATTGTTGGGAAATATTTTTACTAGGACCCCACTTAACCATTGCAGTAGTTTCAACATCAACCAGTGTTGAGTTAGGCTCTGTAACCTTGCAAGAAAGAATGACACTATTATTAACTTTGTAATAGGATTCTTTGGGACTATGAACCAGTGATATGCTGCTAGTTGGAACTATAGTAACAAATAAAAACCAATAATTACTTACTCTTTAACAATATGTTTGAACACATACTTTTAATGATTAGTGTAGTAGTGGTTGATTTACCATCACTTGGTTGAACAAATGAATTATTACTGCGATTATAAGAACATATATATTCTCCTGATTGTGACAATTTTAAATTAGTAAAAAAAATGTTTAACGATCGTTTGTGACTACCA